CCTGCCGCCCGCGCCGCCCGCGCAGCCCCACACACCGCCTATCAGGTAACACTGCTAGATATTAATATAATTAACTTAAACACTCAGTCCGCTAATTCTACCAGAAAATAAAAACCAAAAATCAAGAAAAAAAAACACGTAACGTAAAGCATAAAGAATTAAAAATGAAATTATAACTACAAAGGCTGCAAAGAATTAAAGCAGCAGGAATGAAAGAAAATAAAATATGCTGAAAACTCGCCAGAATGGCGCGCTATTCTAATATGTCTCAATGACATTGACAGATGACAGTTAGGGATGGGACATATATGTCAATGATCTAGCTAATCTTCCAGTGCAGTACTGACGTAACGTAATTCTTTGTATCGAGTGGTGCACATATAACCTTGCAGCTGTTAGTAATTTTAATATCAATAGGTAACATTATTAAATGCTAAATTTCTTTTCAGACCACGGAGAAGTCGTCAATCTTCTTTAGAAAAAGCTTCGCCTATGACTTCCCAGAGCTGTGAACGATTGTCGAGTAGCACATCAAAATCGACTTCCCCTGCCAAGGCTTTGCACAGCCTGCCCGAGAGACTGATGGACGCCGAGAAGTTATCGCGCAGATGTCGTAGCTGCGAAGGAATTTTAGATGCGGATGAGAGGCACGAGAGAATCCCTTTGCCCACGCCCTTAGACGCTGCCACGCAGACGAAGAGGAAGAAGAATTTTATGGACAGATGTGTGAACAAAGTGAGACTATGCTGACGTGTTTGCGGAGCGACCGCTTGCAGAGTGTGTTAGGAACTATTGGACTTCTATAGCATTTTTATGTGAATTTAAAAGTACAAAACTGTGCACAATAGTGTGTAAATAATTTATGTATGCCCAATGTTTAGAAAGCAGTTTTAATCGCGAACATGACGACGATTGCTGGAATAAAAAGTTGTAATCTCAAGGAGTGCGCGAGACCGCGTTGTGTCCCCCCAGCGGCCATGAATAGAGGACAGTTTGCTATTCGTTGTAGTATGGCAAATTGTTTCAAATTTAACACTGGCTATATTTAGTATCTCTCTATTCCTTCACTCTCTATAGATTTAATTAAAAGAATTTATTGATGTATTTAATTTTTGTTCTTTTAGTTTCTTGCCAATTTATTTGTAAAAAACAAAATTCGTGCTGAATTACGATTTTCAATGTGATAGCCTTAGATCTTTTAACGTAAAGAATTATTAAAGTTCACTCGAAATTTATATATAATGCTAGTAATTTATTTTCCTCTATGAATGCTTCTAAAGTATCCTATTAATAAGTTGTACAAAATATGTACTTTAGGTTACAAGTCATCATTACATAAAGTTAACCATGATTATGATAATTTTACGTTGTCAAAATTATATATTTATGTACTAAGCCTAACCATTAAAATAAATGGTATTATTAAACAATACTTGTTTTTTATTTATTAAAATTAAGAAGTAAAAGGTTAGCATGGTACAGTATGTTGAGAAGAGATAATTTGCATGCAACAAAAAAACATTAGTTATGAGTGTGGAGAGGTACATCGGTAGAGGTAGACCTAGAAAGAGATAGATGGATTGTGTGAAAGGTGACATGACCAAGTTCAGTGATGACTGAGATGATGGATGTTAAGAGGTATGCGGAGGACAAAACCCTGTTTGCTAACCCTTTGAGAGTAGAAGGTATCTGTTAGAGAAAGATAATGATTACTTGTTTTTTTATTAAGACATTAAACAAAGTAACCTCATAAAACCTGCAACTTGTAAGTATGAACAAAGCATAACATGTCCATAAACTTCAGTACCTTCATAACCGTCCATAACCAAAAAAAAAAAACAAACAATGTATTAAACATTATGAAATCATTTAATTCCTTACATGAAATTACAACTAAAAGAACACTTACATTAAATTATCATGACGCAACATTAATTTGTATTGAAAGTGAACATTCATCACATTCCACATAAATTTTTGGCGGCAATAATTCACTCAGAGCCACTAAATAAAATCCCCCACATCTACATTGATATGAATAAACACTATTACAAGCGTCGTAGTTCAGATCTGACACTGATATTGAATCATACAAAAGCACCTCACGATGTTCTTCGCATGAAAGTAACGCGTCATATTCTTTACGTGACTGGGGATCCCTTAAAACTGACCAAGCTTTTTGAATATCAAGGAATTTCTCATAATCCTCACTTGAGATCTTATCTGGATGAAAATTTAACGCTAGACGTTGATAATTTCTTTTAAGCTCTTCTAATGTTGCATTTCTACCACATTGGAGAACTTGATAATAATCTACAACCTGAGATCCCATCTTACATCAGTGAATCATGGTTTTTCAATTTTATTTGGTTCTAGTTTATTTCATTACTTTAAGTTTCAAATATTAGTTATATAAAGCATTTTTTATTTATATTCACGATTATTTATCACAAAACCAACAAAAACAAAAATGTTCACTTTCATTTGTCACTGACTGTCAACCTATTAACTTATCATTGTCAATGGCAATTATTGTGTCATGCAAAGATGAGAGGGTGCGTTCCACTAAGCGTGCGAAAAATGTCATTCTTTTAGCTCGCTTATTAGAAAATTAGAATCTTCATTGTTTTAAAAGGATAGCAATTTATTGTTACAAATGTTCTTAAAATTATCGTTTGATTTTCTTTTCAGTAATTGATAATTTCATATAGCAGTCTGTTCAGTTCAGTAATTCAGTTGTCATAAATGTCAACTTCAAAAAATGCCGCTTGATTGAAGCTTCAAACTTTGTAAACAAATTGCAAACTGAACTAAACCTGAAACTTAATTAATAAGATAACAGAGGGCTGTGTGATTTAATAATTAAAGATACCAAATAAGGAAATTGATCCATAAGTTTCAAAACTGTATTAGGTAACAAACAAGTTAACAATCAATCAGAATGCCTACTTGGAACCAAATTCAATCACAACTTAGAAATCCAAATAATCCAGTAGTATTTTTTGATGTCACAGTCGGGACAACTGTAAGTATTCTTTAAATTAGGCTAAGAAGTATTACTGAACTTAAAAAAATCTGTGTTGTTGTTTTAACTAAAATAACCTCAAACTTACTCATTTTCAGGAAATTGGTAGAATGATTTTTGAGTTGTTTGCCGACGTTGTCCCAAAAACTAGCGAAAACTTTAGAGAATTCTGTACAGGCGAATACAGAAGGGATGGAGTTCCATTAGGATACAAAGGAGCTACATTTCATAGAGTAATCAAAGATTTTATGATACAGGGCGGTGACTTTGTTAATGTAAGTTTTATTTACTACTTATTATTAATTTTTAAATACAATTTCCTAATTATTTATGTTTCTATCTTCTTTCGTAGGGTGATGGCACAGGTGTTATGAGCATTTATGGAGGGAGTACATTTGCAGATGAAAATTTTGCATTAAAACATGATTCACCAGGCCTTCTTTCAATGGCAAACAGCGGTAAAGACACAAATGGCTGTCAATTTTTTATCACTTGTGCAAAGTGCAACTTTTTAGACAATAAACATGTTGTATTCGGTAGAGTAATTGATGGATTATTAGTTATGAGAAAAATAGAAAACGTACCAACAGGGCCTAACAATAAACCCAAAATCCCAGTAACAATATCACAATGTGGTCAAATGTAAATAAATAATTAATACTTTTATGTATGTTTTTATTAAAACTTCATGAAGCTTTGCTTCGGAATTTCAATAAATAATGTTTTAAATTAATTAGCTAAAAATAAATACATGCTTTGTAATTTTTCTATGAATTTTGATTATCGTCAACTTTTAAGTGTTTGGTTATTGAGCAGTAAATTCTTTGGCTGCATTTTAGCAGGGCCATATCTTTTTCCTGCCTCTCGAATAAAGGCACCTTCCATTTGTCTTGCAACTTGGTCAAAGAATAAGTTTGACAGTTGAGAATGGAGAGCTGATTTAAATTCAAAAGATATTTGAAAATCTACAACGCAGGATTGTTGTTCTCTTTTTAACCCGGGACTAAATCTCCATAGAGTTAACATGTGATTGAACAACCTGCCATCCACACATTCAGCCCTTACTAAATAAGGTTTTACCATGGTAACATTAGATGTGTAACTTTCATTTATTGGAGGGAAACCAACAATCAAGTCCGCTTTAAGGTGTCCAGGTCCTCTCTTAAATACAATGGATTGTTTGCACCACGGGACAAATGTATAGTAATTCTCTACATCTGATACAACTTCAAACATCTGGTCCATGGAATATCTGAAAAATGGTATAAATAAGCATTAATAGCCAGCTTGTGCCCACAACTTCATCCGCATGGAATTAAAAAAAAAACAAAAGTGAATAGCCTATGTGTTCTTCCAGACTATCCTCTACATCTATACCAAATTTTATTGAAATCCATTCAGCTGTTTAGGCTACAAACTCTAACAAACATCCATCCATGCATCCATGTAAACTTTCGCATTCATAATATTAGTATGATATGGTAATATTTCATTATTAACTAACAAAAATGTATTGAAGATATTAATTTGTAACCATAAGCTGTATTTTGTAATACAAATGTAAATATTTTATTGGTAAAATAAATAAATATAAATAATAGTAAACAAGTCATAATGTAAAAAAAATATATACAGATAAAACAATACTACAAATTATACAGATATTATGCTAGGTTTTTTTTCTTCATCCACTGATGATTAAACAGCATTACATATAGGCACAACACAAAAAATGCAGCAAGGTCTCTGTATTTTCAGAAATTCAAATGACCACCTTATATTTTAATAAAAGCCAAAGGTTTGTCATGGCTAACTAATGAGTATTTATGTTTATTTCAAGATATCTATATAGCTGTTGTTTGATAATGAATGTATTGGAAAAAAGGTCATGAACAATTATGCTAATGCATGTTTTCTGCTTTAATAGACATATTAACATAATCTTAGTGACATTAAGATTGTGTGCTATTTTCACAATTCTAGTAACAGGATATTGATTGTTGTTAAATATAGACATTTCAACATTATTTAAATATTTTTTTTTTACTAGAATCTGTTCGAAAGAGCGGTAAAAGTAGTTATTACAAAATCTTACCCTACAAGTTGCCTTCCACTGTATTCTCTTTTACGACTGGGCTTCGAAAAGTTGAAAAAATTTCGACTTTGTTGGCCCGTGACTTGACACTGACAATGAATACTTGAATTGTTACCTTCATATCTATTTATGTGATGACCCTGAAAACTTCGGGAAGAACAAAATCTTATCATCGGTTTAGCATAACCAGCACTAAAATGATCGTGATATGCAAATTTAATTGTTCTAAAAATCTAATCCTTTACCATATGAGGGTGCGTCGCAGTAAATTAATATTTAAACCCAATGAATAACCTTTACAAATTAACATTATTGTAATAACTATCTTTCAGGAAAATTAAACATGACACACATTATCCCGATTTTTCCATTTTTACTATTTTTAAACAACTTAATAACAACAGAAGACTTAGAAGCAAAATATAATAAATTTTTCAACTGAGTATCATACTATCATTTCAATACAAACAGTGACACTGACAGCAAGACAGCTGACTGCTGACATTTGATATTGTTAAAAACTCTTTTCCTTGTTTAAAATTTTTCTGTTTGGTGATGTTATTGCCATATTGCTTTCAATCAAGAATGCTTACATTTCTGTTTTAAAACATGATTGAGTTAAATACACTTTTACCGTAATTATTTTATGGTCCTCCTTTTCCCTATAGTTGATATTATGTTAAAAAAATTAAAAGTTTAGAATCTTATTTCGAAAAAAAAATGGAGAAAATCTTCAAATATACCTAAATTAATTTAATTTTTGGATTGTTAAATTGCTTATAAATGTTTTAATTAAATTAAACGAATGTTTTATCAAAGAAAACAAAAAATGAGCTTTATATAATCAAAATTAAAACAGAAACTAAGAGATAGAATTTCAAAGGACTTTAAATTATGATAGCTCAAGATTATAGGTACCTCATGGTATCAACTTAGGCTATTATTTATTTTAAATGGTAAATGTTCCTATAATTCGGCTTTTTATTACTATTTTTTCTATCGTCTAATTTTGAGCTTCATTATCGTTTTTTAACTTATTTATTGTCTTTATCTTTTACTCTTTGCAAATTAATGTTAATGTCAAAAATTGACAACGACAACGTCTTTTCTGCTCCCGGCACGTGTTTCTTAAAAGAAAGCGTGGTTGTTTGTAGTAAATATTACGAACAATTAAATATTTTAAATTAAACTTAAGCTTTAATAGTAATAAGTAAGCAATCCACGTGTTATGCGTTAAGATGGGACGTAAAGCAAAATTCGACGAGACCAAGAAAGTTAAGAAAGGACCGGGTAGAAAAGCCCGTAAGCAGCCCGATCCAGTTTTTAGAAAGGAACTTCGTAAGTATTATTGCTTTACATTATTGGATAATGTATTTTATATTCTAAGTATGTATCAATGTTTTATTTAAGTTTTAAAGTTACTTCAGGTCTTTTGAATATGGTAAATGTATATTTTAGGTTAGAGGCTGTTTATGTTTTACTCCATACGAAATATTAGAATAGACGTAACAAATGACAGACGAACAGACTAACATTTTTTATGCTGTTGTTGATTGATTGATTACTAATATATTTATATTCTTGAATTCTTCTCTCTTGAAACAATTTAAGCAATCATCTGGGAGTTAGAATGAATTTTTGTACACCTTCATTGGTAGTTTAGTGTTAAACTAAACTGTGAACTACAAGATATTGTGTTCATATTTCAGTTGAAGATGAAAGTGATACAAAAAAATTGAGCCATAGACAAAAACAGCGAGCTGCAAGGAGGTTAAAGAAGAAAGCTCAGTTAGCTGAAAAAAGGAAAGCTGCTAAACAAGCAAAGAAGAATGTAAACCAGGAAGAAGAAAAGAAAATTATTGAAGAGGATAATTCTAATGATGAAGAAGTTAAAGGAGGTGAGAATATTTATTGATGTTTGTTTCTAATGATTATTTATTACTATTAATAATTTGTTGAAAAGTTTTATTTTCTAACTAATTTTATGTAGCTACAGACTACATTGGTTAGGAAATGTTGATATCAAAGTACATCATTAAGGTTTAAGACAATACCATAAAATGTACAACAAATTAAAACATTTATATACCATTATTTTAGACTTAACATTACATTAGTTTAAAGTTGTTATATTTTTATATAACTTGGCCTTTTATTTTCTAAGGTTTTACCGATGAAAATAAGGAATGGTTGAAATTGAAGAAACCTAAAACAAAGAAAGAAGTAGATAAACCCGTGGAAGATAGTGATGAAGAGTCAGGTTCTGAACTTGAATCTGCTTCTGAACCTGAACAGGACAGTGATGATAATGAAGAAGGTGAAGAAGAGAATAAAAAAGAAACTGGTGACAAAGAAAACTATAAGGTACTGTATTTATTTTTACAATTGAGAAATTTAAATATGTAGTAAATATGAATGATTTGAAAGTATTTGAGTGTTTGAACAATCATGCAGTATATTTACATCAAATTGATATCTAACAAAAGTAATTACTCTCTCTTCCTCTCTCCCTAGCCTGTATCCCATATGGTAGTCCGATCTCCTTGTCAATTTCCTCCACTTTGCTGTCTTTTTATCTAAAACTTGGCACTCGCACATTTCTTTTATCACGACATATTTCTAGCTTGTTTTGGGTCTGTCCTAACTCTTCTAGCAAGAAGGGAAAGGTGCAGTGTCAAAATAATTACTGTTCTATCTTATTATAGAGTAAAAAAAAGATTTAATGTATAAAAATCTTAAAAAAAACCTTAATCTTAGTAAATTTACATTTTTTAAGGTTGGAACACTGGATGATTTATTTGAAGACTCTGATAATGAAAATGCTGGTGAAAATGGCTTAGAAAGTGATGATGATGCACCAAAGATGACTTATGACTCTGACTCCAGTGAAGGGGATGGGAAAGATGATGGTGTTAACAAGGATGATGATGATGACATGTTACCAATTGAAAAAGCCAATTTGAAACTAAAAAAGAAACAAAAAATGAACCAGAAACTAGCTGATGAAGAAATGCAACTTAATATTGCCAAACAAGATGTATTTGCATTTCCCACAGAGGAGGAATTGCAAAATCCTACCAGTCTACAAGATATACATCAAAGAATTAAAGATATTGTCACTGTTTTGGGTGATTTTAACCGATTAAAGCAAGATGGCAAGTCACGGTGTGAATACACAGACTTGCTTCTAAAAGATTTGTGTACATATTACAGCTACAATGAGTTTTTAATGGAAATTCTCATGCAATTATTCCCAGTACAGGAACTTGTAGAATTTTTGGAAGCGAGTGAAATGTCACGACCTGTTACCATACGTACTAATAGTCTTAAAACTAGAAGACGCGATTTGGCACAAGCACTGATTAATAGAGGGGTCAATTTGGACCCTGTTGGGAAATGGAGTAAAGTGGGCTTAGTTATATACAGTTCAACGGTTCCTATAGGTGCAACTCCTGAATATTTAGCTGGTCACTATATCCTTCAGGGTGCGTCAAGTTTCTTGCCGGTAATGGCACTTGCTCCACAAGAAAATGAAAGGATTTTAGATATGTGTGCGGCTCCAGGAGGAAAAGCATCACATATTGCAGCAATTATGAAAAATACTGGAGCTTTATTCGCAAATGATGCAAATAAAGAGCGTACGAAAGCTGTTGTTGGAAACTTCCATAGACTAGGTGTTGTGAATGCTGTTGTATGTAACTATGATGGTCGGCAATTCCCTAATGTAATAAAGGGCTTTGACAGGGTTTTATTGGATGCACCATGCACAGGAACAGGGGTCATAGCTAAAGACCCTAGTGTCAAAACTACAAAAGATCAGAAAGATATTCAAAGATGTTTCAATCTACAAAGGCAGTTGTTGCTATCTGCAATCGACTGTTGCAATGCTAAATCAAGTACAGGGGGATATATAGTTTATTCAACATGTTCTATTTTACCAGAGGAAAATGAATGGGTGGTAAATCATGCTTTAAAACGACGTAATGTGAAGTTGGTACCGACTGGCTTAGATTTTGGAACTGAAGGTTTCGTTAAATACAGACATCATAGATTCCATCCATCATTAAAATTAACGAGAAGATTCTACCCACACACACACAATATGGATGGATTTTTCGTTGCCAAGCTTAAAAAGTTCTCCAACGTCATTGTAAGTGAAACTTTAACAAGTTTAGTACTGTTAATATTTCAGTTTTATTTTTCAAAACTAATGTTTTTTTTTTATTCCAGCCGGAACCATTTAAAGATGAAGATGACGAAGAAGTGGATGATGAGAAAGTGGCCACAGAGAATGGTGAAGCAAGTACATCGGAACAAAAAGTTGATGCGACTTCAACTAATGGTCCACTAAAAAGGCCAGCACCTTCAGATACAAAAGAGCCACAGAAAAAGAAAAAATCTAAAGGAAACAGGTAATTTAGATTATTACTTTACTTAAATAACACTTGATTAAATCCAATAATTTCAAACAACAAATAAAACTATGTTATTGCTTGTCAAAATTATCAATACAGATAATAAAAAATAATTGAAAAATGTATTGTTTCTAGTGATGCACCAGAAGAAAAATTAGAAGACAATGTTGAGGGAAAGAAAAAGAAAAACAAGAAAAATAAACAAAAAGGCAAAGTATTGAAAGAAAGCGAAACAGAAGCAAAAACATCAAATATTGATGAAAATGTAAATGAAGATAAATCAAATGAAACAGGAAAAGTCGACAAAAAACCCCAACAAGATTTACCAAAAGATTCCACAAATTCAGTTGGCAATACTCCAAGTCCTAAAAAGAAAGGCAAGAAAAACAAAAAGAAAAAACAACAATCTAATCCTACTGTAGTTAGTAAAAACGAACAAAACGTTACTGAGAAAGTACAATTGGAAGTATCAAAGAAGTTGAAAAATAAAATGAAGAAAAAGAAAAAAATCGGACAAATTAATAACAAAAACAAGAATGAAACAAAGTCTGTGAAATCCAATCAAAAGTTTAAAACGAAAAATAAATCTAAATGAACTGTGACATATTTTTAATATGTAATGTTATATAATAAATGTTTATTTTACAAATTATGTTTTCATTATTATCCGACAGAAAATGACGAAATAATCTAGCTGTAGTAGAGAGTTACGGCAACAACCCCCGTAGTGGCATTAAAATATGCATTAAAAATAGTTCAATATGAATAAAAAATCTTAAAAAGTAGTATAATGATGCTTTCCAAACAGTCTGAAATTAATTAACTCGAAAGTTATACTTTAGTTTCAAAACTTCGGCGACTTTGCACTTTAACAAGTAATAACGTTTACAATTATAGTTTAAAACTGCCGTGGGATTTAATAAAATACTTTCTCCCATAAATCTATTGTTTAATAAAGTTATATGTCAGATTAAAGCATTACTTATGTTTAGAAAATGTTGGAGATTTGGCTTACCATTATACTCGTATTTACCTATTTTATAGACTATCCTAGTTGCAATGTTAAGTTAATTCGAACTAATTTTTCGTCCATGTATAGTAAAAAAACAAATTTATTGCTTTAGCTTATTTCACTCTGATAATATAGGTTTATAATGAAAAAATAAATTTACCATCCATACATACAAATATAAAAAAATACCAATCTTTTTTTAATCGAAATGATATTTTTTTATCTTAGGAACATTTGTGTCACGAAAAAGTTTTATGGCCTAGTGGAGGGATTTTTTTAGGATATCAATAATTCGTTGCTCCGCTACTGATTCACGGATTTAGAAATTTTTTTTATTGCACAGATAGTGCTATTATAGTGTATATAACTATATATTTTATATATTTTAAAAATCGATCTTATACATATGGGAGTTTAATGATATTTGTAATTTTCTAGATACAAATAGTATTTTCTTGTATCTAGATATTCTGAAGAGAGCGGTCATTGAAACTGGAAGCAATGTATGGACGGTGGTTTCGAATTTCAGTGAAAGTAAATATCTGGGAGAAAAGCGATACTCATACTTACCAAGTTTCGATGGGCTAGCTCGTAAGTTATTTAGTTTTCTTCGTCTTAAAAATAAAAAGATTAAAATGTTTTATTCATGTTTATTTTTACTCGAAATATTGGTTGTCGAAATTCAATCTAGAAACGGAGAAATTTGAACGTAGATCAATGAAACACTCGACTGTATAAAAGATAATTGCTACTTGTATACTCGTATTATGACGAACATTGTTTGTGAAGATTTAATGAGTTAAAGTACACTCTCCTTTGTTTAGAGAGCACCCTCTACCTTTACGAGCACGCTTCAAATGTGATTGAAGCAATGAAATTAAAATAATTTTGTTACCGTATTCCTGCTTTGAACATTAAGCTTAATAAGGTAGCTACGTATGTATAGTGAAGGCGGATAAATATTAAATGTTTGTTGAATAAAAGTCGTGTAGTTCCCGTTCTAAGAAAACTCTGAATAGGGACAAAAATCAAAAAGCCTGAAGCTTTTCCTCGGAGCCGGGGCGGCCCCTTTGCGAGAGCGGAGCGGCGTAGCTCGGGACCTTAATGGCGGGAGGACGCGCAGCCCCGCGCTCCCCGCACGCCCCTCGCGCCTCGGAGGCTGCTGGTCGCCAGTATCCCGCGGAGCGCGCTGTCGCCTGTACACGTACCGAGTGAAACCTACCTGACGATCTGCGACTCCTTTTTACTTCCTGTACGTTCGTATTTGTTTTTATTAAATTAAAAAGTGCACGCTCTGTTTATTTTTATAATTTAAGTGGTCGTTTCATAGATGAAATAGTGCCGCGCCGTTGTTATCTCGGCTCCTGAAATGGAGGCAGGAAGCGGGTAGGGCGGGAC